GTCAAGACAGAAAAAATAAAGTGGCAATAAATTGTGAAATACCATCTGAAAAATGGTTTAAACATTCTTGTCGAATTTTAGGGACCAAAGGCAAGTTTTATATGTTTTTTTATAATATCATTGACATTGACATTATAATAAAAGGATGCAAACATAAATTGGTATTGTTCACAAATGTCAAATATATATTACTGACACATTGATATATTAGTTTCCTAAATATTAAATTTGACTTGACTTGTTTTATGTTTCTAGATATGTTTGTTTTCATTTTCTGAGTTAAATAAAATGATTAATATATCAGCAGGATTCATAATCAAGATTTTGTTTAAAGTCTACTACAATTTTTATCACAGATTCGTATGCAAAGGCCAGATCTGAACTTGGTAAAGCTGAGATAACATCAGATTTACAGAATGATGTAGATGTTTCAAGACTACGTACAAAACGGTATGTTCAAGTATTATATAGAGTAAATTAATTTATTATATTAAGTAATATTAATTAATTAAACGAAATAGTTATTGTGTTAAAAAACAAATAGTGCAATGAAATTTCTACGTATATAAATATATTGCACTTAATGTAATTTATTATTCCTTTTTGTGTGTGTTTAGTATTCAGAAATATGTTGAAGATGACAACGATAATAGTGATGAGTATTCTGACAAGGATTCTCAGCAAATAAATAAACAACCCCTTTGCCAAGTTTCTAAGAAAAGGGTAGGTTCTGCAGAAGGGAGCAACAGTCGATCGAAAACTAAATCTCACAAACCAGCCCCTAAAGCACCTCCATTTCCTGTGTCTAGTCCTTGCTTTTTAACACCTTCATCTCCTGTAATCAGTGAACGAGCCATACCAGAATCAATTTCACAGCCATTTACTAGAGCTATTGAACGAGGCTCTGAGTTATCTACATCACATGTAGCTAGTCAACAATCTGTAACACCTGCAACCACAAGTAGTTGGCAATCTGCAACATCTACATCTGCTGCTTGTTCAACACATGCAGCATCAGAATTGCATACAATCAGTCGGCGTAATTTAGAAGATATATCATTTGTTTCAGCAGGCGCCTTTATAGAAGGAGAGTTAGAACAAGTGATAGCCAACCTTGTTCCTAATATTCCGACTAGTTTGTCAATTCCAGCTACTAGTTTGAGTGCCACAGAATTGTCTACAGCAGCTAGTCATACATCTGCACAAACATCAAACAGTGTTTTAAATAAAATATTTACTCTTTTAGTTGAGCTGAAAAGCGAAGTAGCTAATCTTCAGAAGCAGACTACTTACAACACTACTATGTTGCAGACTTTGTCACAAGGTGGGATACAAGACGATGACAACATTTTTGAAACTCTTGATCTTCCTGTATGTGACCGAAAACAGCTGCAGCAGCTTAAAGATATAATTACTAAAGACAATCTTTTATTTAATAAACTTGTAAATACAATTTGACTTAATAATAAATTTCTCCAAAAAATTTGATATCTTAAAAACATCTTATGTATTAAAAATATTTGCATGCGAGAGTTTATGATCTATTTGAAGTAAGCAATACTTTACAATCTATAACTAAATTTAATCTTACTTATAGTTTTGCTTCATCTTCAGGTTTGTACCGATCGAAACACGAACCCCCTGGAGGTTCGTGTTTCGATCGCCTCCCCTTTTTTTATTAGCAAATTCTCTAATTCAAGCAAATTTTAGAATAAAAATTGAGCAAGATATATATTTGCTAATCAAAAATGTTTTTTTTTCAAATGCAAGCTGGCCTCATCCTAGTTACTGTTTTTATTTATTTCTATGATTTTTTTGATATTGCCAAAATGCAGATGAAATAATCAATTAAATGTCGACGGTTTAATGTTTAGGTGCATGGTGTTGCTTCGAAGGGCGGTCAGGACCTGAAGAAAGCCGTTAGAAGGATGGTTTCCTCTCTAATGGAAAACGACGTAGTAAAACAAATGAATTGGTCAGGACTTGGTGAAAATTAAAAAAAACCCTTTCGTGACTTGAAATGCCGACAAGTTCTGGAAAGTAAGCGAAACTTTATTTTTGTTAATATCACCTATAATTTAGCAAATGAACCTCAGAAACAGTTGTTTACTGCATCAAAATTACTTATTCTATGATATTAAATTTTAATTACTAGAGATACTTAATGTATAGAAAATATTTTATTTAGTAATATTAAATGTTATTATAATAATGTGAACTAAGTCAGGGCATTACTGCGTATTATATTATGATGCACATTTGCAGAAGCATTGCGAAGAAATCCACCAACGAAAGGTGCTTCAGAAAGTGATGTGCAGAAGGCCGTGGTTTACTATTTAGCAGGGGATAGTGATCGTAATGGTGGTAGAAAACAAAGAGCCATTCGACAATCAATAAAAAAAACTCACTTTGAACATCGTGCACTAATGCCTACAGCTTCATCGGCAGTTATAGAACAACCTTTAGTAGCGCCTAAAACTTCAGCGGAAGTTTTACTGCATCGTTTGCCACTTTTCTGCTCAGACGACTCAAACAATTAGTTATGTTAAAAATTAGTTATGCTAAATGCTGCTACCTTATAGTTTCTTCAGAAACGTTTTAAAAGTTGTTTCCCATATTCATAATGTAGTTATATTTTTCGTGTATTAATATTGTATTTTATGTTGTGGTTATGTTTTTATTATGTACATGTGTTAGTTCAAATTACAGAATATAATTCTTTATACCTGGTTTTATGTTATTTTACAAATTATAAGGGTATTAATGGTTTGTTGAATAATTTTAAAATATTTTTTATTAAAGCTCCTTAGATATTTATTAAAGCTTTTTTGATGGACCGTTAATCCCGCTCCGGTGAGCCATTTGGGGACCTGCGATAAACCAGTTCGGGTTTGCCATTTGCGGACCGCTGATAAGCCATCACTGGCTTGCCAATGGCGGACCACTGAAACATCAGCACTGCGCCTGCACTGGCAAGCCAGTGCCGGATCGTGACAAAGCCATTGAGCAAATCGGCGCTGGCCCAGTGCTGGCCAGCCAGATACGGGCCAGCTCCGCAGCCTGCGCTGGGCCATTGCCGGACCGGTATATCGTTGCAGATTGGGGTAACAACTCCTTTAACAATTTTCCTATTCTATTCATTACATTTATCTTTTTTTCAACTAATTCTTTACATCTTGTTAATTGTATACAAATTGTATACTGATGATACAAATCTAATACAATCTTGCTATATAAATGTAAAAATTCAAGCCCTTCAATAAATACATTATGTTCACACTGAACCATATTGACATCTTTATCAACTTTTTCAATTTTATTCAAAAATTCTTTATCACATTTGTATTGATGTTCACACTTGATCATATCCACACCTTTTTCAAATTTTTCAAAACTATCTTTAACACGTTTGTATTGATCACAATCAAAACCTTCGCTAATAGCAAATAGTTGTAACTGTTGCAATTCTTCAATATGTTCATCTTTTAATTGATTTTTTGACATTTTTTAAATTGTCTTTATCATCTAAAAAGTTATTATAACAAAAACATATTACAAAATAATTAAGAATCAATTATTAATAGCAATTCCATTTTATTAAATAAACTAAATAATTCGCGACGTATTTTTCTTTTTAAATTTTGAACTAGTTCTGTTTTTGTCAAGTGTCGAAATTCATAAACATAATTTTCGAATTTTTGTTTTTTAGCACAACAAGGCCAATCGTCTTTATCTTTTATAAATTCAATAAACGCATAATTTCTTTCCTCTTGATATTCTTTTTCTTTTTTTATTTGCTCTTGTAAACGATCAATAGATTTATTACATTTGATAATCAACTTTGTACATACTTTCAAATAAAGATTGATAGTACTTTTATCGTATGTATATTTATGTTTATTGCTATTCAAATTATCACAAACAGAAGATTTGAATTTTTGTATATCTTCCATATAATATTCATAACGTATTCCTTTTAAATATTCGTCCAACTTTTCACATTGATCAGCCAACTCTTTATCTTTTTCTTTTAATTTTCTATCATGATATACAACATTTTTTTATTAGTTACCTAAAAAATATTACAAATTTAAAAAAAATGTAATTTAAAAAAATTAATGAATTTTACATTTAATAAAAAGAAAATCTTCTAAAATATAATTTAAAAGTTCAGTTTTTTTTATAAATCCTCCAAATCCAAAAGCATGATTCATTTGATCTTTAATAGGTCTTTGAAAATAAACACCGTCTTCGGTTATAAACGATTTTTGAAATTTTTTCTCTCCCAATAATGATATAGTTAATCTTTTATTACTAAACGGCCATTTTAAAACAGCGGCATAAATGTGTGGCATTAAAACAAAAAATATACCAATATAGTCGCCATGTATCATTTCATTATTATATTTAATATCCATATTAAAGTTAATTCTCATTGACATTTTATAATTTTTATAAAAAAACGGTGCAGAAAAATAAGTAGAACAATAATCATTTGAATTAAAATCCATTCGTTTTACTATATCTTGAATCACAAATCTCTTTTGACCGTCAGGTAAACCAGTTGGTTCTTCAAGAAAACTAACTCTAATATCTAATTTTTTTAATAACAGAAGAATTCTTAAATTTTCATTTTCTTTATTATCACTTCGTTTCACTAAATCTTCAAGAAGACTAACTCTAACATCTAAATTTCTTATTTCTTCTGTTAAATTAGATTTTTTAATATTTATTTGATAATATTTTCGATTATCAAAAATATTATCAAGTATTTCGTGATCCGAATCAATTTTACATTGATCCCCAGCCGGCATTATTACGTTGTTTCAACGTTAAAATTCGGAAGAAGCGTTGATTCAACGTTGTTCAACTATGTCACAACGTTAAATCAACGTTACCGTTTAAACGTTCATTATTTAACGTTATTTCAACGTTAAATCAACGTTACAGTTTAAACGTTGATTATTTAACGTTATTTTAACGTCATTATTTCAATCAAT